TTCAAGATTCTGCGATATAACATTGAAATAGATCAGATCCATAGTTGGCTCATCAGCTTTATGTGAACTTAATTAATGTCCCACAGGAGGTTTTGTTATTCAAGTCAAAATACATTTTAAAGACAGCAGTCCATAACCATCCAAATAACTGCACAGAAACAAGAGCCATAAAACAGCATCCAAATCTTCCGGTTCCACAGAAAACAATGGAACCAACAACATTGCTTTAGAGTATAATAATGGAAAGAACTGTGTGAAATGAACTTTTTTTCTTAAACAATGAAAACAATATTGTGAAATGATCCTTTGTTTATAAGTGGTTTTCAGTAGACTCTTCCATGCACAATGAGGTTTTTAAGTTGTTATCCAGAGAAAATAAAGCTTCTGGCTTGTGAAATAATTAGAAACCCAATAACCACCTTATAATGAAATTGGGTCCTTAAAAACTTTTCTAGAAAATATCTGAGCAGTGTTGAAAAACTTAAGAAGGTCTAAACAGACTTGCCCGTTCCTGAAGATCCCGACTTGGATACCTCAAGTCTTGCAGAATCTGACCACATCTGTCTCAAAGAAAGTAGTGATTCTGGTTTGAGTCTTGACCGGTCCTAGAGTAGTGTCTTACCCAGAACATCCTTAACGAGACCCCAGATAGGGATGATCCCTAGATTACCATATGAACTTCCCTGGAGACTAAGATTTAGTAATCCTTCCCTCTATTGGCACCAACTCAGATGCAAAGCCTCTCAAGAGAAATCAAGGGTCATAATCGCAACACATAGATAATTTACAAAGTCCTCAACCTCTAAACACTTTTTAAATTAAGGCTCATACAACCATGGCATACATGACCTAATCATGTGGCCTCTCCATCTAAGCAATATCCCTTTAGACGTGCCGCTATTACATTTCATTCATATGCCTCGAACTATAGGCATCACCCATCATTTGTGATTTTTCATAGGATCAGATCTTCATATTCAGAGGAATTCCACCCCCGCGCCTAGCAATGGCTGGGCCAGTCCTGGCCCTAGGCCTACACGCCCAGCCTGGAACCAGACCAAGCTGAAGTCTCCATCCCTGCTAGTGGCTAGGTGGCCTGGCCCTATTATTGGTGCGGGCAGGGCTGGACTTATGGGTTATGTGGACCCAGCCTGGGATGAATTTAATCTTTTAAGAGTATTATAGAAGTCAAACAATTATAAAAATGTCAGGAGGAAATTCAAACTTGAGAAATTGGATACTAGCATGCATATACACTAATCATTAAAAGCCCACATGTATTTTATTTTACTTCTAAAATATGTAATAAATTTAAGGAAAAAGTTTATATAAGGTTGCAACCTTAAAATAGAAAATTACAGATGCACCACAAATATCCATTGAAAAAGGTTGTTTTAATGTTGAAAAACTACAAACTTGAGAAATTAGATACTAGCATGCATATACACTAATCATTAGAAGCTCACATGTATTTTATTTTACTTCTAAAATATGTAATAAATTTAAGGAAAAAGTTTATATAAGGTTCCAACCTTAAAATGTAGAATTACAGATGCACCTCAAAATCCATCGAAAAAGGTTATTTTGAAGTTGAAAAACCTTCTAATTGATCATCTCGACATCGAGATGTATGAATATGGAAAAGAAAAAGATTTTGAGTCTCAGAAATAGTACTCCTTGCAACATATTATCTAAACCGTCCATTTTCAAGATTTTCATATGTTTACAGATCTACTTGATTTTAATCATATTTCGAGCTTTAAAATTTTATACTTAGATATGAAATTATATTTTTAGATAATCCTAAGAATGTTTTATGACAAAAATACATGTTATAATAAAATTTGGAGGTGTGCCTTAATTGGATTGTTTAAGGTTGCAACCTTATAGAAACCACACCCTAAATTTAATGTTCCATATATATATATATATATATTACAATCCCTCCTCTCTCTCTCTCTC